GTTTTCTTCTTTGAATGAAATAGAAAATGAAATGTGAATCTTCAATGAACTTTTTAGGTGATTACATGTTCGGGATTGTCGTCATCTGAACGTATGACAATATCACAAATTGTAAAAATCAATGGAGGTGTATTCTCACCGCAAATGGAACGTAATCGATGTACACATTTACTGACCGATAAGAACTCGGGTGAGAAATATCGAAAGGCGCGAGAATGGGGTTGGGATTGTGTGAAGATTGTTCGAGTGAAATGGTTGGACAAATGTGTCCAAAAGGTTCATCTCTTATCTTTTATAGTGAATACGGCTGATAGCAGTTGTGTTCTTATCATATTGTTGAGAACAATGATAGTTTTTGCTTGAAAGATATTGATAGGGATAATTGGAGTAATTTATAATAGTGACAATAAAAGATTTTGTTGAGAATTGAATTTTAGTGAGGATTGATTTTTTTTTAAATTTTAATTTCAATGCGGTTTTTTTCTCAAGGGAATGCGAATTGAAGAGCGTTTATATGAGCCGAAATTCTCGGCTGTGACAAAGACAAGTACTCCACAATCAGATGCCATACCTCCGGCAGTTTTTGATATCAGTTGTGTGAGTAGTGATACTCGACGCACGAGTGGTTTGTTTGTTTTGATCAACATTTTCGGTTTTTGCATTCATCGTTCTTTGGTCATTGATTTGAAGTACTCACAGTGAATTTCTCAAATTTATGCGCTGCATTCTGTCAGATTCGATCTCATCAGCGTTGGTTGAAACGTCGTCGAATGTGAATTTTTCTTCGATACGAAGAGCACGAACCGATGCGGCGAACTCATCAAATACGACAATTTCTGACGCATCGATACTTCATCAGCGGTAAGACTGTGATCATGTGGTGCTCTCTGATTTAAATTTATTGAGTTGATGTGGTTAATTTCATGAATTTAATGTTGTTCGATTATTTTTTGATTCAGTTTTCGTTTGATTGCTTATTGAATTATTGAATTTATACACTATGAAACATGTCATATATGAAAGTTGTATGCCGTATATCATTTNAGTAGAAATATTATTAGTTTTGATTTTAGTGGTAATGATTAGATATATTCCAGTTTAAACAACAACTCTTTCCGTCGAAACCAGTCATCGCGTAATTTCGCATCCAATGAAGATCCGAAAATACCGGATCCTATCGAAGTGATCGGATTGAATGCGGATGCCGCATACGATTTCCTTGAGGTTTTTTTCAGTTGGCTGTCATTTCTCATTATCCGTTTCGATTCGATTTCTCAGTTTGATGAGAGCATTTTTAGACAGCGAAGTCGGTAAAACATTCAATATTCGATGCTAAAGCGGTAGAATTTCAGAATTGTCGATTGTATTTGTGTGGTTTCACCGATGAGGAACTACCAAAATGGAAGCGAGTGTTGAACGCGTTGGGTGCGACTCGTTTACCCGATATATATTCCGATATAACACACATTGTGGTGGGTTCGATTCAGAACTCGACGATTTCCGTTGATAAGGTTTCTTTGTTTTGCCATGGTTTATTCAGAGTAATTCTCGTTCTGTTCATGTGCAAAGGGAAGGAAAAATTATTGCGATTGTAATCGAATCACTCACCCAGTTCACTCTTCCCTTCCGTCTAAGATCATCCGTTTACCGTAGAGCAGCTGGAATGGCTGAAAGATGGATCTCTTATGAATGAGTTGCTGCCTCTTGCAAATATTGTGCAAATTCGGAATTGTAATCGTACATTTTGTTATAGAGTTGTTTTCAACTGCTCTAATTGTCATTGATTGTTTAGGAATTTTCGTTTTCAGTCGATTATTGAAATTACTCCCTCCGAGTTACTAATATGAATCATTGTAGTACAGTAATAAATAATTTCAGTTGAAAGAAAAATCTGCAGACATATCAATCGTAACATACAAGTGGTTAATTGAATGTGCAATACAGCAGAAACTTGTCGCAGAGAAAGAATTTCTGCATCCGTCAATATACAGTATCAATAATGTAACGGAACCGGATCGATCGGCGTTAAGAATTAGTAATTCAGAGACACCGCGTGCTGCAGTTCCACTCAGAAAATCCTTAACAAGCATTATTCAACGTCGATTCAATTCAGATCATGTCATTGATCCAACGGAGGTGCTTGTTCGATTCTCAAATTCGTATTTGATATTTTCGATCTTACTGATGTTTTAGTTCTGAAGCTTTCATTATTTGTATTATCATTATTATTGTCGACACTGATTTCATAAACATCAACTTTTTCGAAGTATTGTCTAATGTCGTGACTTTTCAAACTGGAATTGCGGAAAAATTATTCAGTATTACGAACTGGTGTAGATTAATTTTTTAGTATCGAGTCAACTCATTGTCAAGCACAATTATTAAGCAGTTTGAAAATTGAAATTGGCTGTATATTGTATGAATTTGCAGACGACCATATCTATTAATCAACCAGTTCAAAAGAATGAGGATAGAAAGAAGGCTGATGAGACGGATGCTGCTGAAGGATGGCGGAACGAAGTGGCGCACCATAATGCGGATAAATTATTCAGCGGTCTTACGTTTGGTATCGATCGAATTGACGACTCTTTAAGTGATGATCTCAAAGTGACGATTCGAGAGTTTGGAGGTTAATTGCCGATTGCTACTCGAGAATATTGTTGTTTTTGTATCATCGATTCGTTTCACTGCATTGTAATTCATTATAAGTGAGTACGATGGTGATAGAAACAAGCATTTTAAGGTGAATGTGAATTGAACGAAGAAAGCCGACAGATCGATTATTTGATATTGCCTTTATTTCATTATGGTTCATTGAAGGAACTCACCGATCTGAACGTTAAAAATATTGTTTCGGTCTATTGGATGGTGGGTCTCATTTATGTCTCTTTGATAAATGTGTATTGCGTAATCAGTTACGATGAATTGTAAATGCGTGCTTGATGAAATTTAAACTGCTCATTGGAATAGTGCTGGTGAGAATTTTTGAAGATTGAGTGACTTCGTGAAGTGCATAATGGGATATTATGTTGGCATTCGTGTAATCAGTGTTGATCACTGTTTTATAATGAGATCATATCAAAGGTGGTGATTGTGTATTCAGTAAGAATTGAGTGACTTTGAATGAATGGAACGGGGGAACGGATCGGTTGATGGAATTTATACTACTGTGGAGTGCTTTGATTGGTTTTTTGGGGTTAATTTAAATGACTGACTGTGTGATTTCAGCAAGACTGTATTGACAAATGTCAGTTGATTGACGCGGATGCGCATCCACTGTATCGACCTCTAAAAGCACCGGCCGATCTCGTTTTTGAGGGATGTGTTGTGGCGTTGAGTTCGATGAATTCACTCGATAAAGAGACGTATACGGGTTTACTGAAGGATTTCGGTGCAATGTGAGTTGATTTTTGGCTTTTTGGCTTGATTCTTATGCAAGTGTTCGTTGGATTCAGATTTTTTAAATTTTGATTCTTGATGTATTATTATTTAATATGTATAATTTAAAGTGTGCAGAATCGTTTGGTGAAACGTGGCACTGCCGGTGGGCCATTGCAACGTAATACACATGTGGTAACGTGTGCCGACGTTGAAAGAATTAAGTGTGCGCGGAAATGGGATATTCCAGTGGTTGATCCGTCGTGGATTATTGAATCGCTGATTAAGGTTATTTTGATTGCGATTTCATTTCATCGATTGATATTGAAGGAAATTGTTCCCATGATTTCAGACGAATTGAATTATCTTTATTGACGAGCGTTTGCTGGTTAATTTGTGTTCTGTGATTTGTATTTTTTGTGTTTTCGACGAAGAAATCATTTTTTCAGGCAGAAAAACAATCCATTGAAGGGTTCCTATTCGATGAGGAACCTCTGAAAGGATATGTACGTACTGATAAATTATGGTCAGCACTGTGCAGTGATAAGAATGGAAATGCTTCCGGTAGGATTGATCAAAGTGGTAATAAACGTTCCTCAGCGAAATCAGTTGGACACACAAGTACAGATAATGTTGGAATGGTATGTATTTATTTTTTAAATGTCGTACTTGTTTTAATTAGTGCATTAGTAAAATTTCATGGCATCGAAACAATTTCGAAGGATATGCGTTTTGAAGCCGTTTCTTTATAAGAGAGAACTTTAGACTGCGTTCAGGCTTAAATGTACTGTCAAAGTGAGGCATTTGCAAAATGTCTGAAGAGTGCATAATTCGTTGAAATTGCAAGCAGAATTAGATATCTGAAAAATGAAGAATGCATAGTTGTTTGGATTATTTTCATCATTTTTACTGTCGATTATTCAGTTATTAATATAGATTTTTTGATATTTCTTACTCATCAGTGGATTATTCTCATTGTAGCAGTATATACTGTTGTTTTTTGCGTTTCTTTGTTTGCAATTATGATTGGTCATCGTTGAAGGCGTACTGATCAGTGTGATTATTTTCGTTGTTTTTTTCAAATGTTTTTGCTATTTTGAATAATATTGCTGCATCGTATAGATGAATGCAACGGGCGATGATTATGAAATGGACGAGGAGGTATTGAACCAAAATGATCACCGTCCATCTGATTCAGCTGGTAATGTTAACAATGAAGTAGTTGGCATTGAAACACCGGCAAGCAAGAGACTTAAAGTGAGTGATTTATTTAGTTATTGCTATTCTAAGTATTATTTTTGGTTGTGATTGCTATCGTTATTATTGTTGTTATCATTATTATTGATTATGCATTTTGAGTTGTCACATTGTTGGTTTCTCAGTGAATGTGTTATGGCACGAATGATTCAAAATGTCATTCTTGTATGATCTTTCGTGAAAATTCTGAAAATATGTCCAATCATAATTTGTGGATGTCGTTTGTAATTTGTTTTGTGAAAATTTTAATGCGAAAGTTAGTTGGATGAATTTAATTTGATAATAACAAAGAAAATGTGGAAGTGATGCCGTTGATAACGACATCAGAAATGAGCAAAACGATTTTGCAGACTCTTCGTTCAAGCGGTGATTCTACACCGAGTTTCTTGAACGCAAATGCGAAGAATTACAAATGTCAATTGGATTTACAAGAGGCATATAAAGTGGTAGATACGTTACAGTCTTGTAGAACATCATCACTGTCAACTGAAGGAGTTAACTGGGTGAGTGCTTGGATTTTGTTTATTAATTGGGATATTCTCCTCTTCAGTAAGACCTTAGCATATGGATTTATTTCGCGTTAGGAGAAGAGGAGTCATTCGTTCTCTAGTTGATATTAAGCGGAACGTTGAGATTTGCGAAAGGAGACGTTTCGGATTTGTATTCAAGTGGATGGCGATTGCGCATTGATCCGACGAGAACCAATGGGCAGTTGTTCGAATGAATAGTCAATTTGCAGTCTGAGTCTATGGTTGGTCATTTATTGGAGGAGGCAGCAATAAAGACAGCGATGAATCCGAGAAATGAATCACCAAAAGCAAATCATCCATCGACATCTGTAAGCGATCGCTAACAATCTTTTCATCGCAGTATTGCTGTTAACCTGAGTTTTTTAAAACAAGATTGTATTGCAGTTGGCAGTGTTATGTTGATCCGTACACAATGTAAGATTAGTAAAAAAGATTCAGGTTGCTGCTGAAGCAGCGTCATCGCCATCGACATCAACGAGAATATTACGACAACCAAAAGATTTGGTGTCGTCGTCCAATGTTAGTACATCAATGCAGAAGAACGATAAACGTTCAGCGAAAACTCTTGATTCGGATATATCTTCTGAACGCACTTCGGCCGCATCAAAACCAAAAACATCCAAAAACACAGCTCTATCATCGATTAAAAGTGCTCTATTGAGAACTCGAGATAATGACTCCGCTTCGACGGTATCGAAACGTTTATCAACAGAGCAACGGATCGATGAACGACATCGGAATATGGCAAAACAGTAAGAAATATAGCAGTTTTTTTTGAATTTCTGGTTTTCTTCAGTATTTCTTTTTGTTTTGGTTTCAGTTCCATTTATTTTATTGAGACGATAATCGACTGAAAATGGCAGTTGTTTGCTTGCAGTTTCCTTTTGTTTTTGTTTTTCAGACGAATGATGGAAGAGAAATTGGCAAGTTTAGCTGCGACGTATGATGGCGATGTTGATGTGGGTTCATTGACTTCAGTTAAAGTAAATTCTTCAAATCATTGTGTTATTAGTTTTGTTATTATTGCCATTATCATTAATATCATTATTGTTAAAATCGAGCTTTGATTCCGTTCTATTGTTGTGTTATTATGAACATAATAGTGATGCACTGCCAGAATGCGGTGCGATTGTAAATTGCAATATTTGTTCATCTCG